GGTACGGTGGCAACACTGAGGGTTGCAATCCGTTGCCGGACACGGAAAAAGACAAAAAAAAAAAAAAAAAAAAAAAAAAAGTAATATAATCTTATTTTTGGATCTGCATAAGTAGTCTTCATTTTGAAAAACTATACTGTTAGTGGGAAATCATAAGCCCTTTAATAAGCCAATTCAATCACATTTGTCTTGAAGATGTTTCCAGTTTAAAAAAATCTTAATTTAAACTCTCCTTCTTTAATTTCAGAATGTCAATATTATGGTGCCCTGGACTTATTCTTGAGCTCTCATTGCTACTAACATTTAAGGAATAAACGTTTTCATATTAAGTGTTGCACAGAAAATATTTTTGGAACTTGTATTCAGAATTAGGAACATCGTCCATTTGGCTAGCATCTCAACTTCAAATTATTCCCAATTTAACGTTCAAAAATAAGCATGTTTATTGTTTGACACTTTCTTTGTTAACTTTAGGATCCCAAGAGAAGCCATTTTGTCTTAATTGCTGGGGAGCCATTAAGAGAACCAGTTGTCCAACATGGTAAGCCCAAAATGATGATAATTTTCTTGGTTGATTTTCTCTTACTTTGAAAGTAATGTACATGTATAGTATTATTGGGAAGAATAGCTGGATTTTTGTCCTGTCTTTCCATGTACAAATCTGAGAATTTTGTTTAATTTTTCCATTGTCAGAGGAAAATATATACCTGGCTTCTCTGTTGGGAATCGATTGATAGTAGTGGAGTTGGGATTCAAACCCTAGTCTCCTGACCCTGTGTCTTGTGCTCTTACTATACCAAGGGCCTACATAACTAGAGATTAAACTTACACCATTTTTATTACAGGAGAGGGAGATTGATGGTTTAATTAGAGAAGACATGAAAAGTGTAGCTTGAAAGAGGATTTATTCATGAAGAGGATTTATCATTTGAAGAGGATTTATGGGATTATTCATAACTATCAAATAATTTTCTTGTTTGTAACCCTTGTAACTGATCTATGAAAACAACCTTCTGAATTCAGTTTACTTCTTCTTGAGGATTTGAGGGGATGAACTTCCTCAACGTGGCTTTGGAGGGTTCCAGTTTTCAATGCTTCCCTGTATACCAAAGTCTTGTTTCTCAAAGTGTGGTCCATGGACCAGCAGCATCAGCATCAGTTGGGAGATAGGTAGAAATGCAGGATTTCAGGCCCCACTCCAGATTTCTTGAATCAGAAATTGCATTTTAAAAAGATTCCCAAGTGATTCATGTGCACATTATAAATTAAGAAACATGGCAGAATACCCAGAAAAGCATCAAAATGGAAGCCCAGACGTGCATCGTTGTTACAGAAAAATAGAGCGGGGGAGTGACTCCACATCATCCAAATTATGATGTGCAGGGAATCCATCCTTGACTTGGTACCTGCTCTCATTTTCTGTGTTCCATTTTCCTTTCCTCTGTGTATTCTTTTAAAAGTTGGCTTCTCCAAGTCACCCTCTTATAATTATTATTTATTCTGCATACGAGGGCTCTCTCATTGTACCTGATATAGCCTAAACCTCCATCTCCAGATGAAATTTATCTCATGAGCCCCAAATCCATATTTCCATCAGTGTACCAAAGACCTCTGTTGGGAAGCCATTTTATTGTCTATAGCGCCTCCATGTCAAAATATCTAGAACTCTAGAACTGAACTCCTTGCTTTACCCACAACCTCATATGTCCTGTATCTCAATCACCCTTAACAGTTCCACCATCGACTCAGCCTTTCAGGCCAGACACCTTCTCTACCCTGATGCTAAAGTTCTTCTCTAAAAACTACAAATCAGATCATGTTACTCCCTTCTAACCCTTCAGTGATTCCTGCTCACCTGCAGAATTATGTCCAAATTCCTTCCATAGATGACATCCAAAGCCCAGAGGGTCTGGCCACTTCCTATGCACCAGATCCCCAATTCTTCCCCCCCACCTCCAGCACTGTGCTCCTATCCTCAATTCTGCCAGCATGCTAATCCTGAAAATGCTTTCCTCCATGTATGACTGTTCCAACATCACCCGCTCTGTGAATCCTTGCCTGGATCCCTTCTCCTCCCCTTTCTGTACTGATTCTATATTTTTACATATTTTTATCACTCCATGTATCACACTGTTTTGTAATCATTTGTTTTCATATCTGTCTGTGTGATAGATTTGAGGTCCCTGGGGGAGGAAGTATGTTATTCATTTGTCTTTCATCTTTAAGTCTCTAGCTGCTAGCACAATGTCTGTCATTTAATAGGCACTCAATAAATACTTAATTGATAGGTAATTGAATGTATGAATGAAGTTAGATGCTTCCTGCCAGACCTTCCCTTCCTGCTGGCATTCTGTTCCCCACAACTTCCCCAAAGGCCTCAACATCATCAAGGCTTTTACATTATCCTGTGTCTTCCTTCTGAAGTTTTAAATTATAGTGATCACCAAATCTGTGTTGATATGCTAACAATTGTTAAGAAGTTTAAGTATGTTATTCCCTCTAAGTAATACCGTTATACATTGATCAGGGTCTCCTAGAGAATGCCCCTTAGAGGAGGGAGCTCCATAAAAGGAATGTCAGGAACCTCTGCAGGCTGGTGGAAAAAATATATTGAATGGACAAGTCTGTCAACTGCTTGCAAAACAATGCCAATGCCATATAGGAGCTGGCTTTGTTTATCCAGCAGATTTTGGGAGTGAGGCAATCCAGTGCGTGTTTGCTCCTATGATGTGTGGAGAAAAGGAAAGAGACACGTTGCATCCTGATTAGTTAGGGAAAGACTTCTTGTATACTTTTTTAAAAAGCCAATTTCAGACTCACAAATTAGACAAAAAGGCAAACTACAGCCCATGGGCCAAAACTGTCCACTGCATGTTTTTGTAAATAAAGTTTTATTGGAGCACAGCAGTTTGACTTTCCTATTGTCTATCACTGCTTTTGCACTTTAGTGAAGGAGCTGAGTAGTTGAGACAGACACTGTTTGATTCACACAATGTAAAATATATACTACTCATATCTGGCCCTTCACAAGAAAAGTTTGCCAACCCCTAGAGAATCCAAAAAATGATGGTTTCTTGATTTGAAATTTTTGTAATCTCCTGTTCATTGTCAAAGAGGTGCTGGTAATTTTCAAAAATGACTTAGAGCCCTCATATAAATACACACCTTTTTAGGCTATGTAGACACCAAAACTATGACAAAATTTGCCACATCCTTATATCAAATCAGTTCAATTCTTGACATCAGCTAATGTTATAAAAATAGCAACTACAAAAAACGGTTTTAATAGAACCAAATCTAAAAGTGTTTTGAATAAAGACATTGCCATTGCAGTGAGGAACATGTGATGGATGGGTGAGATGCAATTGGATTCATTTATCTGAAGTTTAGTCTTTATAATCTATAATCATACACAATCCTGGTGAAGAAATTCGTATTACTGTCCTTGGGGAATGAGCACTGTGAAAATGGACTTTTACTATTCAGATATGCCTGGATTTTCTTTCAAATTAAGAACTACATATATGTATATATATATGTGTGTATGTATGTATATAAATATATATATATATATTTATTTATTTATATATATATATATATATATATGTATATACACACACACACATACAATTTCTAGTGGTAGAAGAAAATATTGCCATCCAGAACTTTTTGAATGTCTCTTTCTGCCGTAGGTCCATTTGTGATGAACACCAATGAAGAGATTTCTCAGGCCATTCTTGATTTCAGAAATGCAAAAAATGGGTTTGAAAAGGCCAAAACCTGGAAATCAAAGATTGGAAACTAGTGAAGAGCACAGAGCAGGTCTCGATGCTTCCTAGAATTTGGCCATTGGTGGCATACAGCCATTCAAGAGCTTTCGTTTCTAAAGCTGTCTTAGCAAGTGCTTCTAAAGAATTCCACACTAAAATGGTAACATGGTTTTTGTAGCAATCCACGTGGATATTTCCTGGCACATGCTAATAAACCTAATCTTTGCTTCTTTAAAAATCAGTGTTCTTCATTTCTCCTGAGTTACTGAGCTATTGTTAAAAAAACTATTTTATGTATGTTTGCCTTTTTGCATGTGCATTTGGATGCTTTTGTGATTTTTGTGCATTTGTGGGTTTCTTTAAGCATATTTGATTGCTTTCTGTGTATCACTGGCAATAGATGCGTGAACATCTGAGGTCTCTTCCTAAGCAATCCTATTGCGTTACAACGGTCAAGACTATGTGCTGGGGTTTCATGTTACAGGTTATCTGCTTTAAAATAACAGCAGTCCTGAGCATTTGAGTCAGTTTTTAAAACTGCCCTGCTATTGGTAGGGACGCATCAGGATTACAGCCAAGACTTCCCTGCATTTTCTGCCAAAATCTGTGTCAGATTTAAGACACATGCTTCTGCAAGCTTCCATGAAGGTTGTGAAAAAAGTTTTAATCCAGAGTTGGGTTCCAGCTTTCTGTAGCTGCAAGCATTGGTGGCCGTACCACCTCCTTACAAAGCAACAAGAACCTGCGGCATAGGGTAGAGAGATTTTTAAAATTTGCTGGACATGAAATGAATTTAGAGTGCTCTCTAATTTCAGGTGGAGAACATATCCACTCCTTGATAATTTTTGGAGCATAAAAACATTTTAATTTTTTTTTCATTTCTCTCCCCACCCCAAGATTGTGCAAAAAATGTACCTTGCCTAATTGAAGTCATTTCATTGGATTTGATCACAACTGATTGTTCTTCCATGTGAAGTTTTGGGGTTTTGAACTTTGCTTCTGGAGAATGCCTTTTCTCTAGCTGCCTGATGTCAACTGCTTAGTAATCAGTGGATATTAAAATATTCAAAATGTACAGAGAGTGGGCAGTGGTGAATATTTTCATGGTGTCTTACATGCAGCTGGTGAAGGGCTCCAGTAACGAACATGGACCAGTGAAGGTAGGTGAGCTCAGTTTTTAATGTGATGAAGATTCTTTCTATTCGTTTATATAGAGGATTTCTTTCTTTGCCCTCACTATTTTTGAAATAATATAAAAATGCAGAACACTCATAGTAGTGGACAGGCTATACCTTACATTTGTTTGTGACTGTTCTGTTTCTTAGGCTTACTAAGCTTTTTGCCATGAGTATTTGAAAATGCTGGGGGGTTGTTTGGGTTTTTTTTTTTTTTTTTTTAGTTGTAACAGAAAATGAATATTTTGTAATCTTTTC